ACTCGGGCCACACTGGCGCCAGTGTGGCCCGAGTGGCAGTGCGCAAATACTTCTAACACCTACATCCGCCAGAGACGATGCCGAGCTTGTTGTTGCATGCGAATGGCATCGCATTGACTTTATCTGACTGGCTGCACTGTGTAGGACTTTCTCGCATGAATGACACGCAACTGGGAGATCTTTGCAGCAATCGCGCGGCGCCTCGTCCGGATTGGGAAGACCTGGACGGAAAATTGGACGAATCCGTCTTCGGATCAATCACGCAATCTCGCAATGCGTCTTCCTCGTCTGTTATTGCTTCATTTGTCGGAAGTCTTTCACGTATCCCTGCATTTGCGAATCTGATTCGCACGAAGGCCTGCTGGACAACATGCAACGACCCCTCGAACATCATCGGTCCACACGCGCGTTGCAGACTGGTGCGTTGGGAAGCTATTATCGTAGCAATGCATGATCAGGACGAAACAAAGAATAGATGGAGCACGTTAGAAGCGGATCTGATATCGGGCCGCCAACTTTTCGGAAGGCGCGCAATTTGATCGCGATCGCGGGCGGCGCGGCTGTGCTGTGGCCTGCACGTTTGTTGAACACTGTCCGGTTGAAAGACTTGTCATCGGACGGTGCATGAACACCGACAGTGTATCAGATTCCGAATGGATCAACTGAGAGCCGTGCGATAGCCGGATTGATGCAAGCTTCAGTTGGCTCTAGCTGCATTGCGTCGTAGGTAGACTACCTAGTACAAGCGCAAACCTCTTCTCTCTCACTCACTCACAAAAGTATCCAAGTTTCCAGCATTGCGCGGTGTGCATCCAAACCTTACTTTGAATCCCCTGTCTGGCTGCCTGGAGCTTGGTGTGAGGTGGTGGCTCAGAGATTAGATTAGTTCCAAATCAAACATTGGGAAGCAAGCTGGGTTGAACCGGAGGGATGCAGTTCTTCAGCCAACCGGCCCAGTGCCTGCGTCGAGCGTCGCACCCTTGTTGTAGAGCTATCAGGCACCTTTCTTCCCTGCAATTCTCAAATCCAGCTCCACAGTCTCTGTATGGACATAGGACTGCGTTGTCGTATGCCTCGCATGAAGAGCAAGCTGCCGGCGGACCCACGAGGTGGACAAGTCAGTCATCATCTGCCACCAGCTTTCCAAACAAGCTCGCTGGCTGTAGGGGCTTTGCAGCGAGCGCGTCGGAAGGGAGTGGATCTGTGCAACAAGTGGAGGCGGCACTAGAGGAGAAGCTGAGGTCGGCGCTTGACGCAACAAGGGTGAAAGTCACCGACACCTCAGGTGATTTGCAGGAAGCTCAACGCAGCTTGATGCGTAAAGTTCCGTCTGGTGTTGGTGCTCAAAGATATGCTCACCACTTTGTGTGACTTTCATCAGGATCTAATCAAGTTGAACATGCGCTGGATGTCTCGTGGTTCAAACTTTGATCTGTGATCCTTTGACACTTCCGGAGCACGCGTTTAACGTTACAGTTGCCAGATGTCTCAAGGCTTATGCTCGCAACCCCGCTCATTTTGCTAGATGCGGTGGTACAGTTTGATCACTGCAGGTTATCACTCTCAAAGTCCTTACGTTCCAGCCGTATGTAGCCAGGTTCAAGGCACCACCAACAAGCCAGGCACTGCTGCAAGATAGATTCAGACTGAAATGATTCTTTCTTGCCGATCGCTCTCCCATCGCTTTCATCTCCGCACTTTTCAATGAAGCAGGATGCCTTGCAGGTGGGTGCGGAACGATGTACGAGATCGTCGTAGAGTCGAATGCATTCCAAGGAAAGAACACTCTGCAACAACATAGAATGGTCAACAGCGCTTTAGCAGGGGACGTTGAGAAGTGGCATGGATTCACCTTGAGGACACTGGCGCCAAAGGAGTAGCTTCCAACATTCAAGGAATGCATGTCATGTACATATCAGGATTGGATGCTTCCAAGTTAGGCCCCCTTGCAATTTGTATGCTTCAAATTGACGACCAGCGTCATCATTCGCTTGTGTACATAAGGGTTGAAAAGTGGTCTAACCCGGGCTTGAGCTTGCAGGCATGCAGATGCGGCATTTATAGAAGGTAGTTCCAGCTATGATTGGAAAATTGGAGGCTTGTAGATTCCCTTGATCGCTGAACACGCATGTCGTCCCATGCATGTACTGACTGATCGCTTCACTGAAGTCACCATGGGCTAACTGAGAACATATGACCGAGCGATATATATGCCATTAAGCGCGGCCGCGGCCTGGGAATGCGTGGCGCCATGCAGCTGTGGACAAAATTTGATCCTTACATTGTGTAGCACATGACCACCTCAACGGCCATCTCGTATACTTATGGCACTGCACATTACATGGATGCCATGGCTCGCGCTAAGCTGCCAGGATATATCAGAACCGACATAGTGATGCGCCGGTACTTAAGGAGGTATACTGTGAAGCATGTGCACTGACCGAGAAACTGCACCATAACATATGCAATTTCAGGGTGCCAGTGAGGCACTTGGATTTATCAACTCTGATTTACCGAGAGATTCTTCATACAGCGAAATTGTAATTATTGCTGATATCATACATGCTTATAGGATTGCTTTTGACATCTGCATTCACATTGGTCACGCAATGCGCATGCCACACTGGACCTGGGCCAATCAGTTTATGAACAACGAAATCGTATCTGCCTGCTTTGTAAACAGGCAAACGCCAGGGCCTGCGTCATGGGCCCATGGGATCATTCCTGTCGTCTACCTGTTCAGCATTTTCCAAACCGGGCTGGTAGCGAGAAACTCCTTTCTTTGTAAGAATACATTTTAGTGAGCAGATTACATTTGTGCATCCGGCGGGTCAACGGGTGTCTCTCTAACCGCAGGCGGAGGTTGCTGATCAGCTACAGGTTCTACAAAGGCGACGTTACCTGCATCTGCGTTTCGCCGCTGCCGTTGTCTGAAATACAGGACAGTCGCCAAGAGGGCCACCAGCGTGAGGACGGTTCCGTTGCCGTCGTTTGAAAGGAAGTTGACGGTGTGTATAAACAGAGCGGAACACATCTGCGAAAAGCAAGCGAAGGAGCCCTCAGATTGTTTGACCTTCTTCTGCTTGTGGAGAGCGGCTGCGCCAAAAGGAACGTCGACCCGACTCTAATTGCGATTCTCTACCGAGTTAATCTGCTTGCTGCATCAGCATGAGCTTCAATCTGACCGTCGTGTCTCACGGATGCAATACACTTCAAACGTCCAGACGGACTCTGCGGACGCAGCATAAATAGCATCATCCCTGCATGAACACACAGTCAAGGAAGTATTTGTCACGCGCCGGTGCCTCCAAGATAAGGAAAAGGACTCGGACATCATTGGCTCTGAAGATGCTGAGTTCAAGAAATGAAGCCGCTCTCAGATTCTGGTCCAGCGCTTGCATGAGCAACATTCTGATAGTGCACCCGCTGAGATGCATAAAGTTGGCACCGAAGATCAGGAGAAGGAAAGAAGATGGACGAACGCAATCCCTTCCGTTTATCCCCAGCACACTGTCCACCGCCTCGAAAAGAGCGCCTCCGAATCTATGGATTGGATAGAAAAATATGCAAGCAAAGAGCTCAGAGACTAAAACCGAACGAGGTAATCACAGGTTCAAATTCCCGATCACTGGGCCCCAGTATCCTTTCAGCCGCCGCTCAAGTCTCGCAGCTTCAAGTTCATGTACCTAAGGCTAGGAGCGAACGACTGAAAATACGAAACCATATCAGTCACCCAGTATTTTTTCCAGCGCCCGCATGAGCAGCGTCTCCCGTTGTGCATCCGCGGGGTCAACAAACCCTGCGCGTGCCTGAGCAGGGTCTCCCCGTTGTGCATCCCCTGAACCCCATACACTGAACACAGACTAAAAGCCTAGGACCAGAGGCTAAACAGGAAAGAAAACCCTAGGACCAAAGGTTAGACAGGGAGGAAAAGCCTAGGACCAAAAGTTCCAATCACTCACCCCCGGTATCCTTTCCAGCGCGCGCATGATCAGCGTCTCCCCGTAGTGCGTCCTCAGCCAGAGCCCCGCGAGCGCGAGCTTGACGGGCAACGCGGCGTCGCGGTCCATCCCGAGGGCCTCGTCGTAGCGGCGCTTGGCCAGATGGAGGTCCAGCGGAAGGCCCCGCCCGTGCTCGTGCATGTACCCCAGGTTGAACAGGGCCTGCAAGAAGCAAAGATACAAACTCAGGCACAGCTGGAACGTTATCCCTTTTTCTTAGATGTCAAGTTTTCGTTCGGGTTCGTTAGGATTATCTCGTCTTCTCTTCTCCTCAGGTGCTCGTGCGTGTTCCCCAGGCTGAAGAGGGCCTGCGGGGGAAGAAGGACCCGCAATAAATCGCCGGTATCAACTTCGATCTCATCGTCGTTCGATTGACCTCAAATTTCCGGGTTGCGAGATCACACCATTGTACTCTTCATTGCACAGGAAGCAAAGGCGGACGGGTGAATGACAATCTTCGAGTCTACTTTTGTCCCCTCACTCTGATTTTGATAGGAGGGCGCATCAAACCAGCTGCAATCCTGTACAACACCTCCCAGTAATCTTCCAGGAACGACGCCAGATCGACCTTACGGGCGCCTGCAACACAGCATTCCAAAATCAAGGCTTGATAAGACCAGCGACGCCTGTTCACCTGCGCACTCCGCTGTTGAGCGGCCCGCCAATACGCCTCTGCCGCCCGCTCCAGGTCCTTCTTCGTGCCCCTCCCAAAGTAGTACGCATCTCCTATGAGCAGCGCAGCCTGCACGTTGCCCTGCTCGCTCGCAAGCCGCCATAGCTTATGCGACCGTGCGTATCGCTCATGGTCCGTGCAGCGCTTTCCTGTCGGGCCCAGGCATTCGCTGGCGGCGCCCTTTTCCAGCAACCACGCTGCGTTGCTCTGCGGGCAAAAAAGAGGGCTGATCTCAGAAACGACGGGTTCCCTCACAAACTGGTCTTCTTTATCAGAAGAAGGGTCGTCGATATACCCAACTACCTTGTATAGTCATCTTCAGCTTTTGAGTGAATGTTGACCTGGTCGAGACTGTGATTCAAAAAGGTTGCAGATCGAGATGCTGAATACCAACGACCCCAACTTCCGAAACTTCTGAAACTTCCGGTCAAACCTGTCTTCATCTACGCTTGAGGTAACTCGTGACCTCGCCCACGAAACTAACGAAAGTCAAACCCAAACCCAGAAGTTTGGGCGCTCCACATCCGTACCCACCCTAAACCCATATAGGGACCAACAAACCCGTCCTCGGCACTTATGTTTTAAAACGAAACCTGAGTGTTCACAAAGGCTTACCTGCGCGACCTCGTAACCCAAGTCCGCCGCTCGGCTGTAGAGCAGCAGTGCGGTGCTCAGTTGGCCCTCCATGTAGCACTCGTGCGCCCAGCGCATCATGCTCCCCCACGGGCCCCGCTCCGCGATCCGCTTGTAGTAGGCCACAGCCGTAGCATACGACCGCTTGGTTCCGATCTGCGAGGAACGTCAAACGGAATCCCATTTGAAGCGTTTCCAAGCATCAGCCGTGCAGATGCTCGTGCGCTTTGCGCTTGTGGTATATGCGGCGAATGCATCCATCAGGGCCCCATGTGATCATCGCCGGACACGGTGAAAGACAACCTTTTCTGACCACAATCACCAGAAAAAACGCGCTGGCACAGTTGTTTGAGTCTTTCGTCCAACGATCAACGGCACCGACCGGGCAAAGTCGAGCTCGCAACAATGGCACCGAGACAACCCGCAGAGTGTGCTCCCTCACCCCGTGGTGCATCATCTTTGCCAGCTGGTACGTCGCCCCGACGTGCTGTGCGGCCGCGGCGGCAGAGAAGAACTCGCGTGCCTTGCTGGGGTTGCGGCGCACGCCGAGCCCGTTCAGGTGCATCACGCCCAGGTTGTAGCTGCCCTCGGGGAGGCCCTTGCGGGCCGCTTGGCCGAACAAGGCCAGTGCCTGTAAAGGTGTTCCAAATTTGTTAAGAAAGATTCGAAATTGACAAGCGTGTGCCAAACCAACAAAGGGGCGCTATGCCTGCAGTCTAGGTGCCGCTGGGGAGGCCCTTGCGGGCCGCTTGGCCGAACAAAGCCAGTGCCTGTGAAGAGGAGTTCCAACATCTCTTGAGAAGGAGCTGTAAATGACGACCACGTGCCAAGCCAAGGACGGTGCACTATGCCTGCATTCTAGTTGCCACGGGGGAGGCGCTTGCGGGCCGCCTGGCCGGACAAAACCAGCGCCTGCAGAAATGGTCTTAAGAATGCTTTTGAAACAGGAAAGGGTTTAGAAGTGCGCGGGCGCCAAGTCTTCTGATGAGCGTTTTGCCTGATAAATGCAACGAAGAGCGAGGCAGGGCCAGCGCTCGCGGGAGAGAATAGAACGTGTCATGCAAGAAGAAGATTGTGACCAAACGAGTTGACTGGAAACGACAATCAGGACCTCTTGGGCAGGCTGGAGGGTCTGTTGATTGAACGCTCTGGAATGGGAATAGCAGGACACGACGAGGCTGCGTCCCCTGTTGCAAGGATGGTGAACTGATACTCTCCGCAGATAATGAATAACGGCAGAATCTGCCGTCAATTGGGCTTCCGAGCTTTGTTTGATCGATGGAGGGCGTTCACAACAGAGATCGGAAACCTGATCCGCTCCCATGTAAAGTTGCGTATGCTGTTCACCACGTGCCTCGTCACAGCGGGGTGCAACTCTCAAGGTAGTTCAATCGACGGTCAAGTATTCTTCCAAGTCGTCGCCGGTCAAGTGGACCCCTCAAAGGTCCCTTCGGCGGTCCCACATCTAGATGGGGGTTGCAGCCGGCATCCGATAACAGCCTCAAAACGCGGCCCTGGACCTTCCATTGCCGAAGTGACGTTGCAACATTTCGGGAACGTGCATGAGCACGCTGCTTTTTAAATACCCTCTCCTCTGCAATACTATCCAACCCTCCTCGCGCATGCGCGACAAGAAGAGCCGGAGCCCCTTCGGAAAACCGCAGGTGGTAAAACAGTTCAGAGGAAAACGAGAAGGACACAGCACCCTCACCTTGGTGTAGTTCTTCTCCATGCCCGCCCCGTGCGCATGCATGTACCCCAGCCCGTTCTGCGCCTGCCCCGCCGCCGCCTCGAACGCTGCCCTCACTTGCGGAATCTCCGTCCCAGCGGCCGACGCCGCCGCAGCTGTCTCAGCCTTCTCGAACCATGAGACTGCTTCCTGCGAGTTTTGCTGTACGCCCACGCCCCGCCCGTACATCTGACCGATCTGAACCATGGACGTGAGCTCCCCTGCTTCCGCTGCCTTGAGGAACCAGCTGAAGGCCTTGCGGTGGTCCCGGGTGATCCCCCTGAGACGAGACAATCCCTTCGTCTTAGCATACTGTACTGGCTCTTTCTAAGAAGCTTTGTCAGGCTGAACGTCTGTCTGCATGCCTGTCCTGTCTTCGTTCATTCTTCGAAGCGACCGCGATACGTTCTGCTTGCGACATTAGATAAAGCAAGACCTTGATTTGATTCCGGTGATCAATTTGGAATAAGATGGAGACACGGAATGGAAACGCGGCTCTCCACGTTTTGAACCCTGAAGGTCAATGCGTTGAACTTAAAAGCCTATCACACAGACTTTGTGTGGCGCTTGATTGAGGGGAAGAAGTGAAGTCTGAGATACAGATCCTTAAATGATCTCCACATCTCTGGTTCTTGTTGTCCCAACAAGCTAGCATGAATTGATCCCCACTTCCGGAACCGTATTTCAACAGCCAATCTTGAAAAGAAGCTGGGGACGAGCAGAGCTAAACTCATCAATCATCAAGCAGGACGCAGGCTGGGCATCTAAGATCCAATCCATGCAAAGCAAACTCCTCACCTTGCCCCCCAGTAGTACAGGTCTGCTAGCGACTTCATAGAGTAGATCTCCCCAAACTTCTCCGCCTTAAACTGGATATACTGGATCCGTTCGTCGTCCTCGCCCCGGTGTCCTGCCACCGCCTCTGCGCTCTGCTCACTCCCTGCGCTGAGTCGCACCGTCTCCACCAGTGGGGCTTCCCCAGGAACGTGGAAGCATGACATCGCTTTGGTTGCAACTTCTTCATACAGGTCAGCTGCCAGCTCGTACTCCTGCGGGGAAGTTTGCACGGGAGTTGATTGTCTGGGATAGCTAAAATCAACGGATTGAATCATGTTGCCTATGAAGCTGAGCCTCTCTGCTCTGCTCTGGTTGTAGATCGAGTGTTCAGGCGTGCTAGCTGCAGGCTTCTTAATGGGGTGTAGGACAAGAGAGGGGGTCCAAGATCAATCAAGAATTGACTGCTGTGCTGGAGGTATAACATTGAAACGCCCCAGACCAGTGTGGAGCACTTGGTCATATCTGGCGTCAATGTGCACCAAGAGCTGTCGACGGTGCGAAGGACGACCAACCAGAACTTACTTGTTGCCTCACGTAGTTGTAGGCCAGCGCCATCTTTGATTGATAGCTCCCCCCCTTGGCCGCAAAGTGATGGTTCAAGAACGCCCTCGCATCGTCCCGCTCCACGCCATACCCATGGTCCTGCAGAAACGCAAGCGCCGACTGCGCATGCTCGTGCCCCTGCTCAGCCGCCTTCACGATCCTTTCCACTCCTGCAACCGCATCCCTCCGCACTCCTACACCCCCCAGGAGCTGCTTCAACCCCAGGATGTACATTGCTTCTATGCCTCCTTCCGCCGCTCTTGCCTTCGTATCCCCCAGTGGCAGCTCGTAAACATTCTTCCACGCCCCGGGGTCCACCTCGCCAACCCTCTCAGACGTGCCGTCCTCCCGCAAACCCTCGAAAGCATTGCTCTGAACCTGCAGGTTCGCCGCTTCCTCCTCTGCAGCCTGCTCCGCCTCTCGCCTCCCCTCATTGATCAGAATGCTGAAACCCTTCTGTCCACTCCTGATCAGTGCCTTGTCCACATACAGGCTGACCTTCTCCCCCTCGGTGGCCACATTGGCAATCTGCACATGGCTTCCTCCCCCTCCGCTTTCATCCTCAGCATCGTCATCGATTTCCTCTTCTAAAGCTGAGGTGTCTTGGTCGTCGTCCGGAATTTGAACGGACGCGGTGGGCCGAGCAACCAGTGTGCTTATAAGGAGAAGGAAGATGGCGAAGGAAGATGCGACTCGCAGGAAGTTAGGTGGGCTGCCCATTCTCCATCTTCTTGAGGAGGCCAGCGCCATTTTGCTGATGGAAAAGTGCGCCCCAGCGTTTAGCTAGCTTTTTTCAGGTGTTGGTTGCACAGAAGATCCTGATTCGGCCAGCTCAACTGATCTGCATGCTATTGATGAGTCTGTTCAGAATCATAATGCAAGTCGAGGGCTGCAAGCAGCTCGTTAAATTAGGCCGGGCACATGAGTGGTTTCTAGCGAGCGTTCTCGACCGTTCGATGGACCTTTGAGCGAAAGAGACCTCCACGAGGCCGTCATGTATGCCACCAGCGCGAGACGCGTCCGCGATTGGTTGCGCGAGCCCTCTGTTAATGTATTGGAGCCACCACCCTAATCATGAGCGCATCGAGCGGTTAGCTTTCAGAAGAGCTTCCTGCAAGCTCCGACGCAGCTTATGCAAAAGCTCCTCAAACCTCGATCATCATATGCATCTGAAGAGCTGTATCAACTTGTAGTGCAATGAAAGACGGTAAGAGATCTGCCGAAGAAGCTAGCTACATTTGAGCATGTAGATCTTGCCGAAGAAGCTTTATTTGAGCTCATGTCGATCTGAATAGAGCACTGATGACGCGTCCGCCGTCTCCGCAAGTTGTACCGCAAACCTGTTCCAATAGCCAGTAGTGGACGAGCTCAATCCCTCCTAATAACCATGCAGTCATGCACCAGAGGTGTAGCAGAACGGACGAGAAGTATATCCTGTCGGTTATCGTTTGCTGCCACGCATGATGTTCAAGATTCCCTTTTTTGCAATGAAGTAGCCACCTTCTTAGTTGGTATAGTTTGTTTACCCGGCAACTGCTTTGCAGTACGGCTTATGCAACTTGCGGTGCGCTTTTTGGCATTTGACTCCGCAATAGAACGGTATCAGACAGCCCCCACACCTTCGCAACTTCTCTACTTGCTTCTTCTCGGCGGTGCTCTTGCAGAATGTGCACACTGGGACAATATCCGGGTTGCCAGGCCTTTCCTGCAAGAGAAAGCTGATAAACGTCAGAACTTTGACAACCTTGGCGCATCTTGTGTGACATATTGTCATTCCACATGATCGATATGATCGATTCGATCACGCACTGATTGACTTCAGCATTTGAAAGGCCAGAGTCACGTTCTGTGTTTCTTCCTGTGTCCAACAAAGAGCACCGAAAGGAGGTGGCAAGCTCACTGAGAAGCCGTACCGGCAGCAACCAGAGCAAGCAACGCCTGGGATATCGTACACAAACCTAGACTTCCACGCTTCCTTCTTCCGCCACTCCGATGCAAAGTTGTTGAATAGAGATCGCAGAAGCCTACACGGACTCCATATTAGCAACGTCTCACCTCCATAAGGCGCAGCGACTTCGCATCTTCCTCCACAATCTTGGCCATTCGTGAGAGTTGTGCCGAAGATAGCCGTTGAAAGTCTGCCTGCTGAACCGCTTTCAAGGCGCACCGAAGCTCTTCCATGTCCGTCAGACGGCCGTGCTCCGTCACGGCGTTGAGCACTGTCGTCGCTTGTCCTGATGACAGGTGGCAATCAGATGTGCAAGCAGCCTCGAGAGCATCGCGGACGCCTTGGACGGTCTCCATGAGCGTAGCCGCGTCCTGCGAGGCAGACTTTGACAGATTAGAGGTCTGTGCAGCTCTTTGACACATTGATATCTCGACATATCTGTTGAGCGCAGATTGGGAATAATGGCCCATTGTCCTCGCCGTCATGAGGTTCTTAAGGATCCGGTCGCGAGACAGAAAAGAGCGGGCGCGATAGGAAGACTCAAAGGACTTGTGGAGAATAAATGAGATAGTGGCTGAAAGGATTCTTGGCCTCCGGTTTGAGCAAAGGATCTGATGCGCACGCTTCAATTCCCAATTCATTTTCAAGGCTGATTAGCTCCGATTTCCGCTTACAGGAATGTCTCGCAGGTTTGCAAACAATGTGCGGACCCATTACGCGTGACGTATTGGTTGTTGTGACGCGGTTCGTTGTGACGCAACTCTCTGTACAAGAAGCTCGAACAGACACATGCGGGACGCGGTCTTTGTTGCCCATTCCGCAGCTCTGCTTTTTGGCTAAGAATAGTAGAAAGAGAATGCTCCCCTGCAGTGCTTTATCCGCGTTTTCAGCGAGGGCTATGTCCCATCGCTTTGTGAGCGGCCACACGACAATCGCGGCTTTCGAACCCCAGCGCTCGACCGTCTCGCCTTGGTCCTCGGTCGCCTCCACAAGTATTCTTTCGTCGAAGAACTCTGGATCGTCAAGCATCTCCAACAGAATTTCTGCAGGTCAACACTGCTTCATTAGAGTGTAGGGTATCAGAAAAGAATTGTGCACCAGCGAATGGGAAGCAAAGCGGACCGCATGGATGGCCACGTGTTAGAATCTTATCTGGTAAACCGCTTTCGAAGGACCTGAACCATAAGGAAAACTTTGACCTTGAAAGGTGAGACAAGTCCGAGCACCGGTTAGGATCATCCCGCAAATGAGTTGACGATTAGAGTCCCTCGCCAAAGACTTTTAGCAAGCAACACTTCTCCAAAGCACAGCAGGTTTCTTCAACCTGATCATAACTCAACTCAGGCAGGAAGGCCTTCCGTTAAGAAGCTCGGAATCCATACTTATTTGTAGATATGCAAAAGCGTTGAAATGGTTTACCATCTTCTCTGAAGCTCATGTTCCGGCAGGGCGCGGTCTGACCCTTCGGTGCCAGCAGGTCCTTGAGCATCCCGGAGCGTTCCAGTATGACGTCATCGTCTTCCTCGTCGATGAGAGCAATCTCGCGCTGAGCTAGCGTGGCGAGATATGCATGGAATAGAGGGCCCTCCGAAGTCTGCGGAGAGCCGTTTCACTGTGTCTGTTGTTTGTATCTTTGACACAAAGCGGACTCTGTGAACTTGATGACTGCCCTTAAGGTGAATTTAGTGGAGATGATCACCATGCACTTTCGCAACTTCGAAGACAGTTTTTGGCGAGCAGTAGTTTGAGGACCATGGCGGGCCTACAAAGAGTGAGCTCTTGTATGATTCTTGTGCAAAACACAAATTTCATGTGCCGAGCTGCTTCATGGCTTCGTACATCTTCGCAGGGGTTAGAAGTTGGTAAATCAGATGGTCCACTTAGTGTAGGCGCATGTCAACTTTGCAAAGCCCTCTTCAAGGACCCTCACCTGGGCAGACTGCATGAGAGCTTCCACCATGGCCCGATCGGAGCCACGGATCGTATCGAACGTGAGCTGGTTCCCCATGATGAAACACCCCTCTAATGGCACCACCATCTTTTGAGGACCGTTGGCATCCAGGCTCCAGGCCATGATTGCTTCTCTGATCTTTGCGACTGACATGGAGTTGTCTGGAGGCTTGAGTGTCTCCCGGACACCCTGCGAAGATGCAGAAAGAGCGAGTTTGATAGGACGACGTACTGACCGGACTATCTTCGGACAGCGGGTCGTAACGTGTAGAAAGGTTTTTAAGAAAGCGAAACAAGTCTGGCCTTCAGGCAACTCAAGGCTCAATCGGCGACCCTTGTGGCCCAATGACTGAATAAAGTCGCCCCATATCTTGCTGGTCTGGTTTTGCTTCCTTATCACAGCCTTCCCCTTAACGAGTTTTTGTATGATTCCCTTGCTCAGTCACAATCTTCTGATGGAGATGGAACGGTCGAACGACTTTGTAATCCCTGCCAGCTTGGAAAGACAGACATCGGAATCAAGATTACCTGGTAGGAGATATTGTACAGGAGGACCAATTGATAGCCCTTCTGGACCGGCAGGAACTCTTGCTCGCAATCCGCATAATGAGCTGCATAGTGGACCCGTGACGGGGCCTCTTGGACAAACGGAAACCTCTTCTGCTGACCGGCATGGCGCGCAAGCAGCTCTCCTGCATGGATGATTGCTGCTGTCAGTGTACTTACTTTCAATCTTGATACTCATAGATGCATTTAGGTGCTCCCATTTGGCTTGAAAATGGCCCACCGATCATGCCACTTTCCAGTGCACTGCGCCTGGACTTCTTCTCAAACATACAAGTAAGCAGTAAGTCCTACCACTCGCGCAAATGACCGTCAGCATCCACAATATATTTAAGAAGGCCACTTGGATGCATCCCACATACCATAATTGTTCTGGCAAAGACCTCAACACCCAAGAATTGTAATATCATAATCCTCAGGTTGCTTGCTTACCTCCCGAGTGTGAGGATGGAAGACTGATGACCAGCGTTCCCAGGTGAATGCCCCAAACCTCCTTGTCAATTTCACGGTGTGGCGGTACAGACTCTCCAGGTTGGAGCAACAGCAGTCTGTCCAGCTGGGGCACAACAATGATGTTGTCCAGAATGCCAAAGCCTTGCACTACCTCGTTGTTCACCAGAAATCGGAGGCACTCGTCCCAACCATTGTCTGTCAGTCTGAATTTGTCGTGCGACAATTGTAAGCATGGGCCTGTGATGTTGTCATTGATGGCATTAGGTAATGGCCTGCAGAAAGAAAGCCGGGCCACATCAGCCAGGAACATGTATCTATACTAAATCATTGGGCCGTGGGCCGTGAGTCCAAATGCTCGCTGCAACTTGTTGAGCTGCTCATCCCGTATGGAAGTGCTTGGCAACCCTTCAATGTTGCAGATTGCTAAATAGTCTGGTGTGGCATTAAGCATTGCAATGCTCTTTCATTGGATCAGAATTTGTCTTTTGGTTAGGGCATAAAACTTTATAGGCCGGGGCTAGGCATTATCTGTGGATTTGTTTCTGATAGGTTCTTGCGCACAATAGAAAACTCCACAGGTCAAGTAAATGTCAGAAGGTCGCAATGGGAATTCGTACGTTGATGGCACTTGCATGATCATGGAGCAATAATAAGATCGAGCGAGCTGCCTAGATTGATTTCCTTCAAACTTTGCAAAAGTCCCCTGGAATTCAACTCAAATCAACTTTCTTGCGAGCTTCCTAAGTTCCTGGCACTCACCAAGAACATAACGATGCTAGCGTCTCTGCTTGAGCTGAGGCAAGTGGTAATTCGACTGGACCGAGCCCTTCCACCACCAATTCTGGAGCAATGAACTCTTTGAGTTCATTGAGTACACCACCTATGCAGAAGCTGCCAGGCCTGTACTCTGTGAGCGCCGAGTACATGCTTTCCCTGTAGTTATCTGTGGCAATTGCCATGCTTTCAGGCTGAGATGTTCTTGCAGATACTCCTCCTCCTTGATTTGGAGTTGGACTGATTCTGGTTGCTGCCAATTGCTGAAGTCGGACCAGTATAGAAAAGTTCCGGGTACTCAATCCGCTCAAACCGGCCCTACAGCACTAAAAGGAAGACCTGATCAATGACGGTCTGAGTGCGATGACAGCAATCAGCAGACGTTGATCAAGCCTGGTGCACCCTGATCAATGAAATCTCGGCGCCATTGCCATTGACATTGTCAGCGCTGGGTACGCTGCGGCTAATAGTAATAGCAGGGACATAGGTACCTAACAACATAGGACAGCCCCTCGGGGTTGTATCGAATCAGATCCTAGAAGCAGGAGTTGCCTGCAACGAGCACTCGATTCTTAAATTTTGGCGCGGCCCGACCAGCTGTCCAAAGTCGGCTACATTTGCAGGCGCTGGC